TCAAATAACCTATCTTTAAGTTCACCGATTCTTTCTTCTGCAAGAATGAATCTGTTGTGAAGCTCATTGTTGAATTTTTCAGTTTGGTCATTGTATTCTTCAGTTCCAGGATTTCTGTTTGGTTCTTTATAAACTTCTTTCATGTATTGTTTTCCTGATTTTGTTTACTTGTTTATCTGTGTTCTCTTACAGCCCACTGAGTTACTTTAAGATGATTATTTTGAATTCTCTGTCAAGCGGTTCATGGATCTCCATTTCTTTAGGATCAGTTCCTGGAGCTTTATTAGTGTCCTTTGTTTTGTCATGACTGCCTAATTCTTCATGGTCTGTATAACCTTGCATTGGTGTCTGTGCATTTGAAGAAGTAAACACTTCTAGTCTTGATTGGTTTTAGCAGGTAAAGACCTTCTCCTGTTGAGTCCCCAGATTGAAAGGACTGCCTCTAGGGCTGTGGTTAAGTAGGGCTGGAGCCAGGTCATGGGGCTGCTTCTTGGTTCAAAGTTGGGTTTGGAGACAGTGGGCTTGTTATCAGAGGTGTGAATGGCTGTGGCTCCTGCTGGGTCCCTGAGCAGGCAGAACTGCCCCTGGAACCACATAAAGCAGGGCTGGAGCTAGGTCACAGGGCTGCTTCAGGGTTTGCAGTCACATCCAAAGTCAGCAGGCCTGTTATAGGGGGTTCCTCCTAGCTCCTTTGGCAAATGGGTTGATGGCAGGACTGTGGACTTATGGGGCTGGAGCTGAGGAGGAAAGGGCTACTTCTGGGTCCCGAGGGCTCTTATTCACCCCTATTCTCCAGAACTTAATAACTCCTAACTTCTTGACTTTAGTAAAGTCGTATCTGTTGTTTTGATTTGCATTTTTCTCATTACTGGTGAAACTGAACATCCCTTCATGTGCTTACTAGCCAGGTGTGTTTCCCCTTCAGTGCATTAACTAGCAAATCCTTTGCCATTTTAAAAACTGAGTTTCCTGTCTTTTTCTTGCTGATCTGCAGTTTTTGAATGTTCTAGCTATGGCTCTGTTCTTGGCTTTGCACAAATTTTTCTCAGACTGTCATTAGTCTGCTCACTTTGTCTACAGGGCACTCTATTGAACTCAAATCTTTAAATGGTCAAATGCATTGATTTTTTTTTTTGACCTTAAATTAAAAAAAGTCTTGTTTAAGAGCTCCTTCCCTCCCCAAGGTTATAAAGCTATTCTGTTTCCTTCTAATAGTTTTTACCCCTGAACCTACCACCATGCCTCTGGGTCTCAGGGTCTCTCATCAGCCAACTCCCCTGCAAATTCAAACTTTTCTGTGAAAGCGTTGCCTTTACCTTCTTGCTCTAAACAAATTCTGACCCTCCCCAGAAATGCTGCTGAACCCAGGCTACTGAGTAGACGCTAAAGCACACAGGGATAAATTAGAAAGAGTCATCTCCTCTGGGCAACAGAGGCCCCAGGCACAGGAGTGGTGAGGGGAATGTAGACTGGATTTTTTTTCCTGCTTGCCCTCTTGCTGGGAATCTTTGTGCAAGGCACATTCCTGGCCAAAGTGTGGTTTTATTCTAGCTCTTGTCATCTTTTACCTCAAAAAGTTCAATTTGTAAACACTGTACTCTCTGACCACCTCCTCCCATATTTCTTGATCCATCAATGTCTCAACACTGCAGTAACCTCCAATGCATTGATCACTTTCTCAGTGTACATCAACCATCTTTCTTCAGCCCTCTTCCACCAGCTACCCTCATTACACAGCTTAGCTTCCATTATCACATCATCATAGCCCCTTCCTTGCACTCTCAACTCCCTGGCAAAATTCTCACCCAGGCTGCTTCAACCTTCCTCTAACTCTGTAGCCGCACATGAACTAACTGCTGAAAATCCATGATCTTGCTGAAGACTCTCACTTTTAATTTGTGACCAAACATCTCAGCATTACTGACTATTCCTTCCATGAGGAATGCTCCTCCACCAGATGCTGAATGGCTTACTCCATTATTTAATTTAAGTCCATGCTCAAATGACCTCTTTAGAAAGGCCCTTCCTGATCATCCTCTGTAAAATCTGCCTCCTCCAGCACCATCTATCCCCTGTGCCCTGCTTTATTTTTCTTCATAGCATATATCATCTCCTAACATATTTAATTCTTGTTGTCTATTTTCCCCATCCTGCACTTGAGTGGAAGCTTACTGAAGTCTCCTTGCCTGTCCTGGTCCATGCTGTATCCCCAGAAGCTAGAATGGTCTTGTCACACGGGCAACACTCAGTAAATAATTTTGAAATGAACGAATGACGGTAGGCTCCAGAATGGACGTCCCAAAGTATCAAAAAAAAATTGTGGCGGTATGGCCAATATGGCCCTGAGCTCACCTCCTGCCATGGGCACACCAAAATTACCACTATTTGCAGAACAACTGTCTATGAGGATGACATGAAGACTAGCAGAAAAGATTTTCTGCAACTGAAGATACAAAAAAGGCACCACAATGAGATGGGGAGAGGGGCAAAAATGCAGCATAGTCAAGACGCACACCCTGGGAGGTGGCTTACAAACGGAAGGATAATCACAACTGTAGGGATTCTCCCCATTTACTGAAGAAGTTGTCTCTCCCCCATTATATATTCTTGCTCCCTTGTCATAGATTAATTGACCATATGAGTGGGTTTATTTCAGGGCTCTCTATTCTATGATCTGTGTGTCTGCTTTTAGGCCATACTATTTTTTTAAGTAATTTTTTTAGTCGATGAAAGTGTTTTATTTCTTTTTAATTTTTAAATTTTTTTACATTTGACTGAAGTATATTTGATTTACAATGCTGTGTTAGTTTCTGGTGTACAGCATAGTGATTCAGTTATGCATATGCATCTGGTCATGATGGGGTGGGAGGTAGGGGTCTGTGTAGGCATGTGCATGGTAGCTAATCCTAATCTTCTGCAGTGGGAAGTCAAATGATAATCTCCTAAAATGAAAAATCAAGGACTATTTTTTATGCATATTATTTGGAAGACGTTTTAGGGGAGGAGAGAGTTTTCCTCCACCCTCACAGAGTCCCTGACTGGGTCTGAAAATTAAACTGACAAAGACAGACTAATTGGAGAAAAGCCTAAAAATCTTACTGAATTTTTATGTGTATATGGGAGCCTTCACAAGAGAATGAAGGCCCAAAGAAGTGACCAGAGCAGGAAGCTTTTATACCTTTTTAGATAAAGAAACAATAAATTTGTGAAGCATTGACAAGACAAAGGGGTTTGGGCTGGGGTTAGTAAATGGTGAAGGAGTAACTAGGCCGATTAAGTTTAGTTTAACAAGGTTTGTTTATACAGACTTCTTGGCCCTAAATTCCCCATCTCTCGTGATAAGAACATCTTATCCCCTTCTGGTGCATGGAGGGTACCTTGCACGTGAGAGATTTATGGCCTGTTTCACAGAGGAAGGGGGTAGGGGGAGATCAGAGTGACCTTCCTGACTCTGCTGTTTTAAAAACAATTCCTTCAACTTCAAATATGTAGTTTGCCAGGGTGCCATATTTTGGGTAGCATGTCCTGAACCCCACCAGGATAAATACCCAGAAAAAAAAAATATTGAGGTTAACAATGGTTGGTGTTCACCAGTGAGACTAAGTGGTAGGGTTGGAGGGAGACAGGGACTGCTGCTTTGCACTATAAGCCCTGTGGTTCTACTGCCAACTAAAAAGGAACGATTTAGTTGTATCACTGTAATAAAGGATAAAAAATTGAAAACATGAAAAAATTATCTTCTATGCTGCCAAGAAGTGAGGCCATTGTGAAAAATAATAAGATATTATAATAAGATACAGGGATAAAAATATAGTAAATGTTTCTCCAAAAATAATAGACAAGTGGCCAATAAGCACATGAAGAGATGCTCAACATCACCAAGCAACAGGGAAACGCCAATTAAAACTACAACATGGTATCACTTCACGACCATTAGGATGGCTACTATGAGAAAAACAGAAAATGAGTGTTGGCGAGTATGTGGAGAAACTGTAATCCTTGTGCACCATTGTTGGGAATGTAAAATGGTGCAACTGCTATAGAAAATAGTATGGTGGTCCCTCAAAAAATTAAAAACAGAATTATCGCATGATCCAGCAAGTCCACTTCTGGGTATATAACTCAAAAGAATTGAATGCAGGGTTTCAAAGAGAGATATGTGTACACCCACGTTCATAGTAGCATTATTCACAATAGCCAAAAGGCGGAAGCAACCCAAATGTTCATCAATAGATGAGTAGACAAATAAAATGTGGCATATTGATATAATGGAATGTTAATTGGTTTTAAAAAGATAGGAAATCCTGTCACATCCTACAGTGAAATAAGCCAGACTCAAAAAGACAAATACTATACAATTTGACTTAGATAAGGTACCTAGAGTCATCAAATTCATGGACACAGAAAGTAGAATGGTGGTTGCCAGGGGCTTGGGGAGGGAGGACATGGGAGTTAGTGTTTAATGGGTACAGAGTTTCAGTTTCACAAGATGAAAAGAGTTCTGGAGATAGATGGTGGCAATGGTTGTACAACAATATGAACATATGTGGTACCACTGAACTTTACATTTAAAAATGGTTAAGATGGTAAATTCAATGTTTATGTTTTTTACTATAATTATTTGAAAAGTGGTATCATTTTTCAATTACAACAGAATGTAAAATTTGGAACATATGAATATTATAAATAAACAGGGGCTTAAAACTGCTTAAGATTTTTAATGAAACAAAATAAAAATTGTGTTTTATATATATATAAAAGATTATGTTATAATCCAATTGTACCTTTAATAAATTGGTCCTTATGAAACTCAAATAGTATTGCAAATATACAGACCTATTGAAATTTTCTACTTAAACTTTCTGGGTAATATTTTCAAAGTGTAATATTTCCCTAATTATTATTGACAGTAATAGTAACACATTATATTTTAATATTCACTTAATTCTATTTTTTGACCATCTTATGCTTTGGAGATTTTGGACAAAAACAATACAGACTTTAAAAATATCTTACTTTATCCAAGATTTGTGAGTAATTGGAAATCAATAGACTATTCCTGTGACAAAGACAAATAATGTCATAAATAAACTAAATGTTTACATTAAATTTTAAAATGAGTCTGTATTTAGCTGCACAACATAAAACGCAAAAGAATTTTGTCTCTACTATAAAAGTGCATATTTCTCTAGATTCCAACCTTCATTACTCACATAAAACTCTATCAATAAATAGGTATTCTCCCTAATACGTCCCTAAGGGTAAATTAGGACATCTTTTCTTTTAAAAATAACCAGTATTGTGTCACAATGATGCTAATCACGAAAATCATCTAGACCTCTACACCCTAAATCAGTACTATAGTTGAGCTCAAATGAAAGGAAAAAAGATTCATGGACACAGCACAATCCCTACGTGAGATCTAACTCTGTATTTCTGTCTAACTGTAAAATGAAGTGGTTTTTCCTAAGCCCAAAATGTTTTTAGGTTTTAGCAAAAGAATTACCGCGTTACTGGTTTGGGCTTATAATTTTCCCATGTAAGATTTAATTATGTTTTAAAATCAAGGCTTTTAAAACTACAAGTAAGATAGTAATTCAATATTGTTTGCTATAACAATCTCTCATACATATGCATATATATGTGTGTGTGATATACATGGAGAGAGAGAGGAAGAGAGAATAAACTTTCTTTGCATTTATCTCTCCTCATTTCCTGAATAATCAATTTTTAAACATTTCTGTCATAAACCACATTCTTTTACAAAGTTTAATACATTATGTTTTATATGTGTGATTGGATATGCATATATATAAATTGGGCCTAAAAAGGAACAACAAACAAATCAAAAACCTTGATAGTTCAGAAGAAGGAGGAGATAAATGTTTATATTTTTAAACAGTAGACAAATATAGAGAGTCTAGTCATTTTTATGTAGGAACTTTGCACATATAACCAGCACTGAATCAGAGAGAGGCCGATCTAAACTCGCATAGGATGGCCCAGGTTTTCCACCCATCTTATAAAGGAGATTTTTCACAGTAGCAACTAAACACATCTGCCACGTAAGGGTAAGTAGCAGAAAGTCTCCACCAGGTATAAATTGTAAGTTATTAGAACACTATCACCTCTAATTTGAAAAGAAATGCAAACAATTGAATCCAGCTATGCAAGCGTTTATACAATCATAGCAGAATCAGGAATTATGACCAATGCCTATCACCCGGTAGGTATAGTCACCATATGGCTACTGAGGACAATTCACTAGTTATGTTATCAATGCTGATATTACATTTCATCTCAGGAGAAAACAAACAAGTAATTAATGTTTTAGTCAGGATTTTCAGTTAAGGCTCATCACTCTATAAAATGAAAAGAATCACAAATTTAAACACTGACAACAGAAGACTTTTGAAAGACCCATCCTCCAGCCAGGATGCACTTGTCCACCAATGATATCAGGGCCATGAACATTACTAGTCAAATTATAAAGGGAATCTGCATCACTTGGAATTAGCAGGACCTATGGAATGCAAGATAGGATTCTGAAAAATAAACTGAACAAATTTTGCACAGAAACCTAATTCAGATGGCCAGATGCTTTATCACTCTCCAGTCAACAAAAAGATGAAACTCTCCGTCTGCAGAGTCAGGACAAATCCCTTTTACATACTCTGTAGATACTTATGGAATGTAACTATAGTCATTGATCTATTGAACACACTCTCGCATGTATTCTTGAACACACAAAGAGATTTTTATTCGGATTTATTGATTGTATTTGAACATGACTGTATTCACAAGAATCTTAAACCACCCTATGAGACCCACCCCATCTGTGAAACACAACATTCCTTAAAACAATGCTATAAATATACTCACTATGCATGTATTTTCTTATGCCAAAATACAGAATGGATAAGCCAGAAAATAAATAAACTTATTACCAGTAGAAAGGAAGGGAAGAGGGTGGAAGGGACAAAGGTATAAGTTATACTTTTCTGAATATACCTTGTTTTGTAGATTTGAATCTAGAATTATGTGAATGTTTAACGTAAGAGTAAAACAAACTTCAATCAAAATGCGTTGGCAATTTGTGTCTTCCTTTCTTTCTTCTTGATCAGTCTTTCTAGAGGTTGATCAATTTTATTGATCTTTTGAGAGAACTAGCTTTTGGTCTCATTGATTTTCTCTAATGTTTGCCTGTCTCCTATTTTATTGATTTCCGCTCTTATCTGATTTCTTTCCCTCTACTTACTTTGAGTTTAATTTGCTCTTCTTTTTCTAGTTGGTGGAAGACTGATTTTAGAAATTTCTCCTTTTCTAATACAAATATTTACACAGCTATACATTTCCCTCTAGGAAAGTTGCCTATGTGTATGTATGTGTGTGTGTATGTGTTTGTGAAGATTTTGTTTTTAAATTACAAACCCAATTTCTTTCATAGATACAGGAATATTCAGATTGTCCATTTCTTCTTATGCCAGTTTTGGTAATTTGTGTTTTTCAGTGATTTTTCAAGGGATAGCCCAGGTGTTCACCGCTGCCCCTCCTCTTAGGCTGGCTGGAACCCATCTCCAAGCCCTGAATGAGCTATGGGAATAGGACAGCTCACAGCTCTCTTACAGCTGCTCTTTGCCTGCCCTGCAAATATGGACACTAAGTGTGTGCATAGCTGTAGGGTTGTCACTTCTCCCAGGCTCTCTCGGTGGACAGAGCTAGGGAATGGATGTAAGGGTATTTCTATGTACGCATTTATATCTATATGTATTCCTTCATCTATTTATATTGAAAACCATAAGTTCACATGATATCTCCATCTCCAATCCAACCCCACAGGGTACACTGTAGCATTCTCTCTTTCTGTATTTGTAACTCCCTTCTCTGAGTGAGAAACTCGATTCCCATTGTCTTTGATACATTAAATTATACGATTAATCCCTTTGTATGTAGCTAGTCTATTGCTGTTGCCACCCTCCGCATCTGCCCTAGAAATGCCTTTCTTACTCACCTTGGGCTCTGTCACCCGACGAAGGATCACCTCTCCCACATGAAATCTATGTTGTTCAGATTTTCTATATCTTTGCTGAATATTTTCTTTTTTCTTTTTTTTGCTGAATATCTTTCTGCTTGACCTATCAATATTTAAGAGAGGTATGTTGAAATCTCCCACTTTGATGATATATTTAAGAATTCCCCCACATCTTTATCAGTTTTTGTTTGTATACTTTATTACTTGCATACAAGATTAAAATTGTTATAACTTCTTGGAGAATTATGTCTTTCATAATATAGTGAACTTCTCCCTCTCTAATAATACTCTTTGTCTTAAAGACCATTTTATCTAATAATATGATTACACCATCTTTCTTTTAGTTTATGTTTACACAATGTCTTTTTCCATCCTTTTACCTTTAACATTTGTGTGTCCTTATTTTAGGTGCATTTCATATAAATGATGTTTAACTGCATTTTTGAAAATCCAATGTCTGTCTTTATTTTTAAAAGGAGTTTAGACATTTAAAAATTATTTTAATGATTAATATAATTGGAAGTGTTGGTAGCAACTAATTTATTATTTTGTTTCTTTTTCTTTTTTCATAACTCCTAATAAGACAATAGCCCATCACATTGATACTGTATGTTTACCGTTTAATTTCATCTTAAAAATGTTTTAAAGACAACTTTGATCACCTTTAATTCTTATACCTCTTGTACTATCTAGTATTTAAATACTTTATTTGAAAGTATTTCTAGTGTAGATTTTTCTGTGGCAAACCTTAGCCCTGCTATACCTGATGATTTTTTTTAATCATGATTTCATATTTAAAAGAAAGTTTGACTGTATGTAAAATTTTAGGTCTCTAAATTCTTTTCCTTTCAACCATTTGAAAAGAAGTTTCCATTGCCTTTTTGCCTCCAGTACTACTGAAAAATTGATGTAAATTGGATCTTTTTCCTTCGATAAAATCTGTTCTTCTTGTAAAACTTAAAGTTTCTCTTTGTCTTTGACATTCTTAAATTTCTCTATTAGTTCTCTAAGTGTGGGTTTTCCTTATTGCTCTTTGGTCTGTGTGGCTCATTTCAATCTGAAATCTTTCATCCGAGTTTAATTCTGGTGAATTTGTCTCCATTATTGTTTCAATTACTTCCTCCTCTCCATTTTTCCCCCTCTTTCTAGAGTTTCATCTATTTTTTCCATTTAACTATGATTTCTATTGGCTATATTTTTTGTGGTAGGCAGAATTATGTTCTCCCAAACATGTCCACGGCCTAATCCCTGGAACCTGTGAATATGTTAAATTACATGGCAAAGGGGAATTAAGGTTGCAGATGGAATTCAGGTTGCTAATTAGCTGACTTTATTTAAAATAGGGCGAGGATCCTGAACTATCGAGGTGTGGCCAGTGTAATAATGACAGCGCTTAAACGCGGAAGAGGGAAGCAGAAGAGTCTGTGTGGGAGAGACAGGGTATGAGAAAGACTCGACCAGGATGGCTTTGAAGCTGGAGGAAGGGGCCATGAGCTCAGTAACATGAACAGCCTCTTGAAGCTGCAAAAGGTAAGAAAACGGATTCTCCCCCCGAGCCTCCAGAAGGGAATGCAGCTCTGTCCACATCTTAATTTTAGCCCAGTGAGACCCATTTTGGACTTTTAAGTCCCAGAACTGTTGTTTTAAGCCACCAAGGTTGTGGCAATTTGTGATAGCAGCAATAGGAAACGAATAAACTTTTTAAAATTGTTTTTCTTATTTCTTTTCCTACCATTTGTTGGAGTGATCACACTTATTTATTTATTATTGAAGTATCATCAGCTTATAATGTGTCGATTTCTGGTGTACAGCATAATGTTTCAGTCATTCAAGTATATATACATATATTCATTTTCATACTATTTTTCATTACAGGATATTGAATACAGTTCCCTGTGCTATATGGAAGAAACTTGTTTATCATACTTTTTTCTTTTTTTTTTTTTCCCTCACTGATGGTTTGCAAACTCTATATGCCATTTCTGTATTCGGTGGTTACCTTTAATGTTTTCACCTTTTTCCAATGCTATATGTGCACTTAGTATAAAACTCTAATCATTGTATCAGTTCTGTTATGCAAAAGAGCCATCGCCTCCAACGTCCCCCCACCAGTTCTTCCTCCCCAGCGGAAACCATTTTCACTCCTTCAGCTGATTCTTCTCATATTTACTTCTTTATCTCCAAATAATATCTCCAAGTGATACCTCTATCAGTACTTCTTGATTTTTCACTTTTAGTCATCATCCGTTGACTTTCCACTGGAGAGGATGAAGATTGAACTCTCACTATTGGTACACATGCACGCACACATATACATACCTTCCCCATCCTACTGAGCTGGTAGGAGGTGGGAGAATGCATGAATAAACTTTGGTATGTTCATATAGTGGACTATCACTATACCGAAAGATCTCAGTTATATATAAAAAAATAGACTGGAGGAAATTCATTAAAATGTTAACAATAGTTATTTTGAATGAAGGAGTATAGGTTATTTTCATTCCTTATATTTCTGTTTTTAAAATTTTCTACAGTGAACATGTAGATCTGAAAAAATAATAATAAAATTTTAAAACAAAATCTCACATAGCATTGTCACAGTGGATTTCTGAAGCCCCTTGCTCTTCTCAAATCAACATACCCCAACTGTAGCAGGATGTGGGTGAGCCGGCTGTGGGAAATGATAACTTTTCCCTGTTCCCCAATATCCAGCCCAAGTACGACAGTTTGTAAGGAAAGTCCACAGGATATCTCTGTAACACCAGCCCTCAAAGCAGAAATACAGTGTTTCTCCAAGATCGTTCACAAATGTTATTTATTGTTTAACACCACTTATTTCTTTATGAACATGCCAGTGAGGAATTTTCCAGTCAGACTGGCATGCGTGCTGGCAGACTCAGGAAAACCCTGATTCTGGCATTCTAACCCTCAGAGATCATTTACTTCCCCATGGAGTATCTAAGACGAAGATTTAAATACCATCAAAATGTGACCAGATGTCCAAGCAGACAGCCAGAGAAGAGTTACAAAGGGGAACTTGCCCTGTTGGTTTCTTGACTATCTCACAGAGCTACAAAAATTAAAACAGTGTAGTACTACACGGACAGAGCAGTGGACCAGAATAAAAAGCCAAGACATATTTGCAAGTAGAACTTCCACATTAAAAAAGAAAAATGACATAACAAAGATGGCATCTCAAATAACCTTTGGAGGACGTATTTAGTTCTGAATATAATGACAAATCAGGGGAATATGAGGAGTTGTTATAGATTAATAAGAATTAGCTCACATTTAATAACTGTGGACTCCATGGCTTACATATATGCTTTCTAATACTGTCCTTGCTTTGGTCTTCTATTCTAGTTTGCAGAGTTTGGGTTTTAATTTTTAAATTTTTACTTATATTTTTATATTCTTATAAGCACCTGCAAATTTTTTGTAGAACAAGACTAGGCATAAGTAATTAAAAGTCAAAAGTTTAAAAAGGTAGTTGTGATAATTACAAAGTGCCATGGGTATTCAAGGGAGTGATAAATCACATTAGCCTTAGGAGATTAGGGCAAGCTTCAGAGAAATGGTGGCATTCCAGATGAGCCTTGGAGGATGAGCCAAATTTTAGGAGATGGAGATGGTGAGGGAGTGGCACTCCGGGTAGAAGGAACAGAAAATACAAAGGCACAGAGGCAGAAAAGAACTGGGCTTTATGGTGGCGCAGGGAGTGGTCCTGTGTGGATATACGTATTCATTTATTTACTTATTCCAAAATACTTGTTGAGGACCTAATATGTGCCAGACGCTTGCTTCTAGAGTTGGTTCAGCTGCTCAACGGCATCATCAAAGACTTTAGTCCTTTACAGATGTCTAGTTGTCCATTTTCTGTGTGTCAACAACGCTCCCCTCTGGGGACACAATGGCTGCAACGGCCCCTAGCATCAAATCCTCATATGACAACATGGAAGAAAGCAGTCTCCTCTCACCTGTCAATTATTATTAAGGAAGAAACCTCAGCAGCCCCCAGCAGACTTCCCTGAGGCTCAGGCCTCCCACACCCATATCCAATTATTGAACTCTCTGCTTCTCACATTCTGCCATGTTGCCTCTGACGATCTGATAAATGGAGCTAGGCATATTGATTATCCATATGGTGAAAAAGTAATAAATTGTATCCCTTCCTCAGATCAACACACACAAAAAAATCAACTCTAGGGGTATTATAGACCTAAATGCCAGAAGTAAAACTTTAAAACATTTACAAAAAAATACAAGGAATATGTCTCTAATTTTAGAATAGAGAAAGATTTCTTAACCAAGATGCCAAAAAATTCTAACTATGAAAGGAAAGATTTATAGGTTTCATTTAAATTAAGAGACTTATTCGTCAACACACTATAAAAAAATTGAGAGGAAAGAAGGCAGAAAATATTTACAACATATGTATCTAAAGAATTGCTGCCAAGAATACATAGAATGTCCTCAAATCCATCAAGAAAAAAATTAACAACTTTACCGGAATATGGGCAAGAGACACAAACATTTAATAAAAGAGAAAACACATATGGCCAATAGGCACTTGAAGAGTTGCTCCATTTCCATATTAATCAAGGAAATGAAAATGAAGACCATAATGAGACACTATAACATCTATGAGATTAACAAAGAACAAGAAATCTAACTATACCAAGTGTTGGAGAAGATATGGATCAATGAGATCTCATAAATATTGTTGGTGAGTGTGTAGATTGATTCAACTACTTTGAAATAATTTGGAATTATTGTGTACATTTGAGTATTCCTATACCCTATGACCCAATGACTCCCAGGTGGATAGCTGAGAGGACTCTTATACAAATGCACCAGGGGACATGAAAGTGTTCACAGACATATTGTGCAGAGTAGCAAAAGACTAGAACTGATACAATGTCCATTGGTAGGAGAATGAATGAATAAACTTTGGTGTATTTACATGGTGGAATATTATATACCTCTGAAAGTAAATGAACTATAGCTCTAGGTGTTAAACAATAGGTATGAATCTGGACAGCATAATGCTGAGTGAATAAAGTACTTACTCCTTAGATGACCACATAGAGTGCAATATACTTT